GATCATTTGTTTGTCAAGCAGGGACTAAATTGTAGAAAAATTAAAATACATGCCAAAATCGAATATAAACGAAAATTTGACCGTAATTTGTAGTATTTTCAATTTTGCAAACTAACCCCGTGGACCACTGGTGCTATTATTTATCGCTGAATCTTCTTAAAAGTAAATTCGTCTTCCAATTGTCTCCGATATTATCTCCGGCGACTAGTGCTGATCTGTCGGAGCTCAGAATCGCCGCCATGGCCGAAGAATTCTCTGTAAGATCTATCCCCTCTCTCTAAATCTCTTTGTCTTCTTGTGTGTGTTCTCGTTTTCTTCACTTGGAAGACTGAAATCAAATCTCTCGTTAACCATCACGATAATAGAACGATAGATCTGTGTTTGACTCTGTCGAAATTTTGCTTTCCTGTACTTTTATTACCCTCTCTTACTCGTGTCTTGTAATGTTCTGTGTTGCTTTGGGTATGATCTTCTGGGATTGATGCATGCACCTGTTATAAGATTTGAGATTGTGAGCATTTGTTGTCTTCGAGCATTTTGGTCAATACACATGATAATGGTCAAATTCCATGAAAATTTAGCATGGTTTCTGATCTAACAGAACCGGATGGGTGAAGTTTTTGTCTTTATTTATGTTTTTGAGAATTTCTTGCCTTTGAGTTCTGTTACTGTGGAGGGTTTTTGTTTAATGACCATGAACTTGCCATGAAATGTCATGAAGAAAAATCATGAAATGGCAATGTTAATTTGCAGAGGTGTTTTATTTTACCAAACTCTTGCAGTAATGGCCATTGATAGTATAAGAATAGAAGTTAATTCGTCGACATTATTCTTATTGGTTGAAAGTGAAGTGCTAATAAAACTTTGAAGCTAGTAACGATGTTTCCATCTGTATATATCTTTGCAAAGTCTTAACTTTTCTCTTTTTTTTTTATACACCGTGAAACCCGAATAATGTATAAAGACCAGCATCTGTTTTGTGTTCTGTCCTCTCGCTCGATCTTATTGTGTTCTTGTATCTTAATTTCATTTCTACGTTGCTAAAAAACGATGAACAGGGAAAAATCGAAAGCAAAGGGCTCAACCCGGGACTGATCGTCCTTCTTGTCATTGGAGGGTTGCTAGTGACGTTCCTTGTAGGAAACTTCATCCTTTACACATACGCGCAGAAGAACTTGCCTCC